TGCAGTAAAATTAAAATACCGTATTGGCCCGAATGTAAGACGATGTTTTTTGCATTGAAATAAGACTGAAAAAGTGGGGGGCGTCTTATATTCGGGGTCTAGAAATTATACCCATTCACAACGTTAGATGGCGCCAGATATCAATGAAGCTAAGGCTGAACTTGACTCCCCTGGCCAAAGTGAACCCCTGCCACGAAGAATAAAAATAAAAATAGCGGTAGCACGAAGAACAAAAATAAAAAATAGCAGTAAGAAGGAAAAGACAAGAAAATAATCGAAGAGATAACAGAAAATGGAGAAACGGAGTGACAATCTGGAGAAAAGTGTGTTGAAGATCGGCCAGATTAACCGGCAGCTGAGGAGAAGTTATGATTTAATTTACATTTCAAAAACCAGAAGCCATTCATTTACGAATGTGATTGCACTTTAGATTTGAATGAGGCAAAATAACATGCTTTTTCTCTCAAATATATTGTTATAATTATTTGTTTCATATGTACTGTAATTATTTTCTGTATAAAAATTAATTTGGTGTTCAAAAAGTCTTTTTTCAAACTTGAGGGGGTCGTCTTATAATCAGGGCCGTCTTATGTTCGGGCCAATACGGTACATAAATAACTAACACGCTTTTTTTCCTTTCCCCCTCAATTTTGCTGCTGTAGACCGCAAATTTCCCCAGTGTGGGACAAATAAAGGTTATCTTATCTTATCTTAACTAAATAACGAAATAAATAACGAAATAAATAAATAAATAATACAAATTGTTGCCATTAGGTACACATAAACATCACCCCATCCCTTCCTCACACACACACACACACACACACACACACACACACACACACACACACACACACACACACACACATAGAGAGACCTCTGCTCAGCCAGATTTATTGTAAATGTCACACACCAACATGAAAATGACCACAGACCAGTTATTTTCAACAATGAATATTGCACTGTCTCACACACACAAACTCTCAGTTCAACCAAGTCCACAAACAAAAATATAAAAATGTTTTTCTCTTACAATGCATCTTGCTTAGCGCCTTTGTGCAGGGACTTCTGGCATTACTTCTCTTGAACAATCCTCTTCAAATCTGGCTCATATTCCTTTGTTGCCACTCAAAGCAGGCACTGTCGGCATGCGACCTGCAGCGGTTACTTACTACTTGGGTCAGCTTGCCTCATAGGGCAAACTTTTTTGACTGAAGATCGACTTTTGAAGCACTCAACCTCCCGTGATCGACCCAATCGTGCAGTTGCAAGCACATACACACGCACGCACACATGCACGCAGGCGCCCAACCATGCACACGCACGCACATGCACGCACGCACGCCACGATGAGCAACAGCTGGAACGTGAACGAAACCAAAACACACTGACACACAAATAACACTGGTTCTAATTCTGGGATGTTGCTGTACTCTGCTTGCAAGTCTGCCAGCCATGGGTGTTGTTATTGTATGATGCTTCCTTCTCTCAGATACTCTTCCAGTATTGCTCTGTCTCAGCCGAGGTTAAGTTTTACTTCAGTCTTACTACGTTGCCACTGAGAGTTCACCCGGAGAACATTGTTTTTTTCTCCTGGCCGCGTGTACCTCTTCACATGGGTATGCGCATGAATATATCCAATTTCTAATCGGCTCATCCTTGCAAGGGTCGTGGGCATGTTGGAGCCTTGCCCAGCTGTCTTTGGGCAGTAGGCGGGGTTGCCAGCCAATCGCAGGGCACACATCGCCGAACAACAATTCATGCTCACAAATGCACCTAGGTTCAATTTGGATGGTGGTTTTGGAATGTGGGCGGAAACCGGAGTACCTGGATAAAACCCACGCAGGCACGGGGAAAACATGCGAACTCGACACAGGAAGGCTCTGCACCTCTGGGACGCACTAACCCTGCACACATACACACGCATGCACGCACGTGCACGCACGCAGTTCATTCTAAAGCATTCTTCAAAAAATGCTACATTTGATATGCATTTTTTACCAAAAAAAAAAATAAAAAAATCTGTGGTGTCTCACCCCCCCCAAACACCCCTGCCCCAGAAGAAAGAAAGTTAAAAAAAAAAAAAAAAAAAAAAAAAAAAAGAATAAAATTAACAGATTTGCTGGTTCCCAACTGGAGCTACTATAAATGTGTTACATGGGTCTTCCTGTTCTGGAATTGCAGGGAACAATTAACTCTAAATACTATCAAGGTACAGTGGTACCTCTACTTACGAAATTAATTGGTTCTGGAAGAAATATCTTAAATTGAAAATTTTGTACGTAGACGCGTTTTCCATGTAAATGCCCTAATCTGTTCCAAGCCCCACAAAATTCAGACAGAAATGTTTTATTAAGCATGAAAATAAATCAAAATATGTAACAAATACATGTTACAATTACATTATTGCACAATAAATGACAGTTGAGCATAATGTAAAAAACAAATAATAAAGAATTAAAATGATGGTCATTAAACTTTTAACTGCGTCCTGCAGTGATAATTCTACAGTTTACCCCAAGCGAGTCCCAGGGACTCACTGATCAGAAAAGTATGAGTCCATTATGCATTTAGAGAGTCCCAAATTTCGAATTCTGAAATGGTCTACTTATTCAATTGCATATGATAATAACACAAACAACAACATATACAAACAATTATAAACAAATGCTGCAAAAATTAAAATAATTCAGTAGCAGGCCTGAGGATTTCGGAAATTCACGGTAAGCGTTTTTCGGTTACGTCGGATTACCCAATGGGAAACCACGGTAACAATTTTGGGTTCCGTAAACGTTCATCATGGGAACCCATTTTTCTATTTTGACTGATATTTATAATCAAGAATTCTGAAACCCAAAAGTATCATGTTTCAAGGGTAAATATTTGAAAACTATCCATTAACAATGAACATTACATCAGCAGCTGTGTACTCCAGGTTTATTCAACTAAATAAATGGATCAAAATATGTTGTACTCATATGGCATCATGAAGAATACAGCATACCACAAAATTAGAGTATTTTTTTAAATCTCACACTGCAAAGATTAATTTAAAGGTAAGTATTGATGTGGCTTGACATTCTCTTCCCAAAATGATGCATGTGTAATCTACTATCAATTTGACGAAAGAATCTAACACACGTAATCTTTAGTTCTACCAACAGTTAACATTAGCGTTACTACACCTCGTGACGAATGTTTTATTCCTAAAGTTACCATGCTACAACCAGTAAATTATACAACAACCAATGCTGTTTCATAATATTTTTCTTAGCGATTAGCCTATAGCTCTAATGACCAACTTATCTCGTAATCGTGCCTCTCGTCGTATCTCGCTCTCGTGTTCTGTGCATACGTCACAGGTGAGTTTAGTGATACGCCCTTTGGACGATTCATATGAAAAATTAGACTGGCATTCCCATTTCTTAAATGTCGTAATTAGAAGACCTTTGTGAATTTTTTTTCGCCGCCATCTCAAACTTTCATCCGCGCGATTATTCAATTTTCGGACTAAAATAGCAACCCGCAGGCACACATAACATTATCTGTTCCGTCCCCCCAACACTCAAAACAAAACAAAACGAAAGTAAATTAGAAGAAACACACACACCACACCACAAACACCCATACAGACACAGTGAAATCGCATTGATCACACAGGAGGGACTTGATCGCGTCCAGTCAACTCGTGTGCGGTGACTCTTATGGGTAAACGATTTTTCGGTACCGTCAAAATGACGCCGCGGAAACGACACGCTACCGGTAACGATCGTTACCATGAAACCCTCAGGCCTGTCGTAGTTTTTTTTTTTTGTGTTGTTGTTTTGACTGAGAAACTTCCTTGCGTCCCAAAAACGCACATTATTTGGAACTGTGCGTCCCGCGGGAAAATTATGCGTCTAGGACGCGGGACGCAGAGGTAACGAGATGGCTGCCATCCTCATCCTTTATGGCTCTCTTTAGTTCATGTTCTCTCTCACAAGTGGTTTTCGCCTGGTGATTTGTCAAGAACTGATCCAAGGGCGTTTGCTTTTGTGGGCTTTGAAAAACCCTTCAAAAATGTCCAAGGCAAACATCAGCATAGTGAGCGATCGTTCGACTGGTGAACACTTTTTCTGGGTGATTCACATTTATGTCAAAGTATTGGAACACGTCATGGCCCGAGGGGTGAATGACGAGGATGCTGCATCGACACATATCTATCTACACACAAAGGGTAGAGGTCCTACCTAGCCAATGGGATGCCAGGATGATGCTTGGTAATAACCAATGACAGAGCAGTTATAAGTATGTTGCATTCAGGAAACTCTGAGCTGCCACTAGCAGCCCATACTGTATTTATACCTTTGGTATCTTAAAATTTCTTTCGTAACAAAAGGCAATATTTTCCTGTTGAGGCATTTCGTAACGTAAACATTTCTTATGAAGAGGCGTTCGTCAGTAGAAGTACCACTGTATTCTTTTTGAGTTAAAGTGTGCTTCCCAGTACAGAAACCTTGGTCTCAGCTGCATGTCATTGGCCAACAGCAAAAACAACACTTCAAATGTTACTCAATCATGGTAAGGACAAAATATTGGATTATTCTGAAGTGGTCTTCTTGATGTAAATCTGATTGAACATCTGTGGAAGGAACTGTGCAGCCTGGAGAAGGCACCTTTCAAACCCAAGAAGCTGGCATTTGGCTCATGATGAGTGGACTGAAATGCCTACCGTGAGATGGTGACGGGATGAAGTCTCGAGATGTACTAAAACAAGTGTTATTGCTATGATCCCCTTGAAAAGATTGTGCAACAAAAATTTTAAGGGTGTATTCTCTTTACATGTTTTTCTCGTACTGTACTTTTGTCAGTTATTTCAGTGATCACTGTGTATTTTTGATCAGTGTATGTCCCCCTGACTCCATTACAAAATCTATGAAATAATTGTGCTTTAACAAAGATAACAATGTTCAGGAAAAGAGATTTTATTACATAGCAAGTAATACCTTCATTTTTTCCAGGGTGTGAAGAATATTGTGACAATTTTAGAAAAGGAAACGAAGCAAAATAATGTGGAAAAGTTTGACATTAGGGATCAGAATAAAACCAAGACCGAAGCAAAATGGAAATACAAGGTGAGACCTCTTCTTCTTTTTTTTTTTTTTTGTTGTTGTCAGAATTAAAGTGTCACTGTGGCAGTACCTCAAATATACACCTACTGTACCCCTTAAACAGGGTATTTGGAACCCAATTTGTAACGTTTGTAGGTAAATACACACCCGATTCTAATGAAGTTGGGACGTTGTGTTAAACATAAATAAAAACAGAATACATCCATCCATCCATCCATTTTTTGATCCACTTATCCTCCTTCACAAGGGTCAAGGTGCATGCTGGAGCCTAGCCCAGCTGTCTTCGGGCAGTAGGCGTGGGACACACACAGTGACTTTGGTTCTTTTCAATTTAGCATCATCTGTAGTAAGCGGGGAAGAGTCAACCTCTGATTTAGGCCAATTCTTCTGAAAAAGGCAGGGCCTGTGAACCACCTGTAGCCAAGGAAGGTTGTCTCCAGCGACGTTTGATGTACGTGTCTCCACTGCATAACCTGGGTTGCTTTTCTGACCCTCCTTACTTGGTTTGCGACAAATGTTTTGTATTTTTGGCTGTCATTTTTTGATGTATTTCAGAACAGACATGCTATCTGTCCGGAGAACATGACCTTCAAGTTGTATCTTAAGTTTTATGTGATCAAAATCTTCACTGCCAGTACAGAGGCAGTTAGGTCCATTCTAGGGATGGTCATCTAATTTATTGGGTACATGTGAGTTATGAAGTTGGTGTGGATCTCATTCTAATCATTAGTTACTTGTATATCGCTCACTGTTCTATAACCTTTTTCTGAGGCATCAGAAAAAGTGGTGTAGTTGGGCTGAGGAAATTGCTCCAAAGGTCTGTGGCTTTATACATTGGTCTATATTCAATCCCAGAAGCCCTGTTCCCAAGATAGCAACTTGTCGTACCATCCATAATCTTTGTTGCAACACTCCTGTCGGATATGTTTGCCAGGAGACACAAAAGAGGCTACAAATCCCAGTGGATCATACACAGACTCAGTAGTTCACAGTATGCCTCTTCTTGTACGTACATGGTTGCTTCCTCAACAAAACCATTGACCTCCGAAGACCCTCTCCAAGGTTTCAGTGTCCAGATCCAGGTACTTTGGCACCTTGTCCCAGTCCTCGCTTGAGATGTAAGTCAGCACAGTTTGCTGTTGCTCATCCACTATGTCAGCTTGGCTCAGGCTTCTTTCACATCATTGGCTGGAGTAATGGCATGTCTCTCTGTTGGAACTGACTTATGACATTACATAGTCATAAACATAGAAGTTGTTCTCCATGGTCTCAAAGTTCTCAGTTGAGAAGTTGCCTTGAATGTCTTTGGCCGTTTGTTTGAGGACATAACTTGAGATAAGATGATGTGGCACCAAAATGATGGACAGTCATCCGGTAATCCTTCAACTTTTGGCTGACATGTTCTTGTTGCCAAAAAACAAATCGTAGATAGTCCACATCTGATGACTTTGACTCTGTGAAACATACTCTCAATGTCAGCCATGAAAGCTATTGGTTCCAAACGAAAACGAAGAACACCAATCAAAGAGTCAGATTTGGACCTTGGATGAGTTAGATGAAACACCTTGAAAGGATCCTGAGCCTTCAAATACTATGTGTAACGTTCCTTTCCTGGGGTATTAGATTCCATGGTGGGATATGTACCACACTTTTTCCATGGCTGGGATGACGTTCTGTTGTGGGACTGGCTCTGCATATCCTTTTTCAATCATGGAATTGATTAATGCACGGTAATTTGGGGTTATTGTTGAACCTCCTATTCAAAGATTTGGCATGCTGTTCTACCATTTCCCTGTCATTTGGCACCTTACAATGGTCCAATTTGAATGCATGTGGCAGATCATATCATCCATGCTTTAGCTCAGTGGTCACCAACCTTTTTTGCCCCACAGACCATTTAATGTCAGACAATATTTTCAGGAACCAGCCTCTAAGGCCCGATAAATACATCAAAATAATGTGATATGACCTGAATGAAAACTGTGGTATTTTCGAAACATAATAATAAACATGACTCATGACACGAGAAACATCCTATGCGTACGCAACACTCGCTATTTGGAACGTTTAAATGTGCCTTCAAAATAAGATATGCTGCAAATAAAAAGTGCATGAAAAATACGATTCACCATTGCCGCATATTATGCAGAGTGGGCTTGGTGCATGGGGAATCTCCCGTTGAGATAAATTTGTATTTTAAGTATGGTATTAAATGCAGCCTTATTTTTCTTGAAAGTCATAGGCTCCTCTTCTGTTTCCTGGCTGGGCCTTTTCCCATTCCCAAAGAAACTTTCAAAGACGTTTGTTTTTTTTACTCATTTTGCTTGCTCCCGGGTTTCATTTTAGCGGTAACCTATCACGTGACCGAGAAGCGCGCCTTCACGTGCCTCAAGAGTGACATATTGTAGACGGATGTAACAGAGAATCTGGTAATTATTAAAAATAAAACATCTTTCAGATTCCGAAACGAATACAACAGAAGGACTATAAGTTATTTATTCTTTTTGTCTGGCCCAGCACCAAATGACCGGTCTGTGGACCGGGGGTTGGGGACCGCTGCTTTAGCTTAACTAAGCTATTCATCATAGCCATGAATGGTTTGTCCTCAATTGACATTTCACTTCTCTTCATTATTATTTTTAGGATAGTAATGTTGATATTGCTGAACGAGCAGGTGGTCCATTGTTGATACTGATATGTGATTGATAAGCAGCCATGATGCAGGTTTTCAGTCGTCAGAAATACAGTCATCATGAAGCAGGCCATTTGCCACCCATCCTAATAAGGTTCACTACCTTGGCTGTTAAGAACCATCCTAACCCCCATAAGCTTGGGTGCATTGTTGGCAATTATGAGTACTATTTCCACACGTATCTGTGACAGTTGAATCATCTTCGAATATGGCCACTTCTTTATGTCCCTTTGTATGGTGTATGTGCGACTTTCTGCTTGGTTGTACGCTTCAAGCAGTTGACCAAAGTCGTTTTCCATACGGAGACAACTACGCACGAGTTCCTGTTGCTGTCCAGTGGTGAACTGCTCTAAGTAAAATAATCGATCATGGCAATTATCTGTAAGATCCTACTTCCCTATCGGATTATTGGGAAAGTCTTGGCCGGCTCTCCGTTCAAAGGGTTAAAACTGTTCGGGTGGTTCTTTTTGTGACCAACAGGTGGCACTGTAGGGCTCCTCCTGCAGTGGTACACCTATTGGCCATTGTGTCGGTGTCGGATCATTGTGTGTCTCTGTGCCCCTCTCATGTTTTGTTTTTGTCATAGGTTGTTTTGTTTGTTTGTTACTTGTGGTTTTCAGGACTTTGTTCGAGTATTTGAGTTATTTTTTTTCCAATGTACTCCTGTTTGTATTTTTGTTAAATACATCTTGGTCAGTCAACCCTGCTCCTCCCTGCTTCCCTGCTTTTTGGAGACCTCTACTCTACCACCTCGCAAAACGTGACAGAATGATGCAACCAAAACTGGACCCCGCAGGACCAGAGGCCTGGTCCCACTGCCACCCATCCCTCTTCCAGCAGTTGAAGTGCTGCTGCTGCTACCCCCGACTCCAGCGGCGCAAGTTATGCGGCTGCCACCCCCGACTCCGGCGGCGCAAGTGTTGTGGCTGCCACCCCCGACTCCGGCGGCGCAAGTGATGCGGCTGCCACCCCTGATTCCGGCGGCGCACGTGTTGCAGCTGCCACCCCCGAGTCCAGCGGCGCAAGTGTTGCGGCTGCCACCCCCGACTCCAGCGGCGCAAGTGTTGCGGCCACCCTCTGTCCCTGTTTTCGGCGGCACAAGTCTTGCGGCTGCCCTCTGTCCCTGTTTCCGATAACGCAAGTGTTGCGGCCGCCATCTGTCCCTGTTTCTGGCGGCGCAAATGTTGTGGCCGCCTCCCGTTCCTGTTTCCGGCGGTGCTAATGTTGCGACCGCCTCCCGTTCCTGTTTCCGGCGGCGCAAGTGTTGTGGCCGTCCTCTGTTCCGGTTTCTGGCGGCTAGAGGTCACCAACAATGGTGCTCAAGGGCAACAGGTAGCCCCCAAGCACCACATCAATAGCCCGCTGGCATGTTCCAAAAATAGCTCACCAGTGCTGAGAAATTGTGATTTTTCTCGGAATATTGTATAAGTGATGATTTGAAACTCAACTCAACTGTATTTATAGAGCACTTTCAAACAGCCATCGCTGCATACAAAGTGCTGTACATGGAGCAATTTAACATATACAACAAACAGTAAAGCAAATCGGTAATAAAGACGGTAGAAAGCACCGAACAGCAAAACCAAGAACAAATCTAAGTCATGCTGAGTCAAATGCCAAAGAATACAAGTGAGTTTTGAGGCGGGTTTTGAAGATGGGCAGCGAGGAGGCTTGCCGAATGTTCAGTGGGAGGTCATTCCAGAGAGAGGGACCAGCAACAGAAAAGGCTCGATCCCCTCTGAGCCTCGGTTTAGTTCTTGGTACTTCAAATAATGTGAAAATGTGAATACTGACAGAGATTTCTAAAAATATAGTGGTGCATATTGGTATCTATCTGTTTCCTAATTATTGTGAGGAATCATTAACATGATCAGTGTCTTCACATAATTGAATTGCATTAACAATAATAATAAGAACAAAAAATACCATGTGATTCAAGTCAAGGTGAGCAAATTTTCAAAAGTGTGTATCAAACTGGTAGTCTGATACACTCATCAGTAGCCAAGGAGTAACATTCAGCTTCAAGAAGTTTGGTCACCCTTGAACTGAGCTACAATATGTATTTCTCACACTTTCATGTTGAAATCTTCCTGTGTGGTGCTAAGAGGCCCCACATAATATATGAAGAGAAGACTTGGGGTGCGTTCGGAAATACTAGTCTGCTACACTCCAACTGTTCGGTAACTTGACCCATTGTCAGAATGCACCCTTTAGTTGTTGAAAAAAGTCAGTTCAAAATAACTTAAGAAATATTGTCACTTGTAATACTTTGAATTATACTGAGAGCAAGTTTGTTTGGTTAGCATGAGCATATATGGGCATAGTGATCGACTGGTTAGCATGTCTGCCTCATAGCGCAGAGGCCCGGAGTTCGATTGTGGAGTTTGCATGTTGTCCCGGTGTATGCTTGGGTTTTCTCCGGGTTTCCTCCCACATTCCACCACATGCATGGTAGCTTAATGGAACACTCTAAATTGTCCCTAGGTGTGATTGTGAGTGCAAATGGTTGTTCGTCTATGTGTGCCCTGCGAATGGCTGGCAACCAGTTCAGGGTGTACGCCGCCTACTGCCCAAGGACAGCTGAGATGGGCTCCAGCATGCCCGTGACCCTAGTGAGGATATATCAGCTGATTAGAAAATGGATGGATGGAATGGATGGATCATAAACATGTTTTTTGGATCAAAAACGAGCTCTTATTTTTTTAATAGTTACGCCATTACTTCTTCATCTTACATGCCTCTATAGATAGTCACTCAATGCTTGAAAACTTCGGGAATGAGTGATTGGTTAATCAGAATGCAGTCATTAAACAACAGTGTTTATATCATCGAAATTCAGCATATTATTGGTTTAGAGCCGCAATATGTCATGAAAGCAGGCTCAGCATCCGCTGCACTCTGCACTACACATCAACGAAATGAGTGACTGACATTATGATGCGGCAACGCAGTGGTTTACGGATGTAATAATCGTGTGCCATTACAAATCAATACTTTAATGTGTTATCCACACTTTGACATATCGATTTTTGTCGCGATTATCGATTTATTGTTGCAGCCTTAATTTCTCACATAGCAAACTATTTTGTATTTTCCTGTCAATATAAATGTTTATGTGCTAATGTATCATAATTTTTTTTTTTTTTTTCCACAGAATAGTAAACCAGACTCCCTGCTAAAAATGGAAGAGGACTGCAAATATGACAGGACATCAGTTTTAGGAAATAAAGTCAGTTTTACAGTGACTCACAAGAAAATTCTGGGGTATGTACTGAATGGCCGTGTTTGCCATTTAACATTTAGAGATGAGTCCCACCCATGTTGAAAATGAATAATAACAATCATAAACCCATAGTAATGATAACGGTAGCAATACATTTTCAAAACTAAAGCTGCCAACAGCTGGAAAGGGACCTCACAAGCATGGCCACGGCGGGGTCCTGGAACATTGAGGGACTAGCTCATTGAAGATCAGGCTGGGTTGTTGAAATGTTTGAAGAGCGTTACTGAGGAATATAGTTTGAAAATGGGACAATTAACCGAAATTCAACATACGGAAGTTATTCCCAGCCCTGATTTGTGTGGAAAGCATTATGATTTTTTTTGCACGTTGATATCCAGTATTTTATTAATTGAATGGCTTTGAATAACTTTAATTTGAAACATGTTTCGATGAAACCCCCCAAATTTGAAGTCGGTGGGATCAAATCTCAAGGAGGAGTTTCATAAAAAGGCTAAAAATTAGGCAAAAAATTCAAAGTTAAAAATGATGGACTTCTATTTGTGTTTTAGGGCAGTGTTTCCCAACCAGGGATACGTGAGAAGATTTATTATTATTTTCAAGATCAATAATCTGTGGCACCGTCACACCAAAATCACAACAGCTCAGATGACTAATGAAAAGAAAGTTAAACTGCTAATGTAGGTCAGTGGTGAATCAGTGATGATAACTCTACAACTGCCATTTTGAATTTACTTGAAACATTTTGTTCAAATCATGCATAAAATGCAAGAGCACAAATATTTTATTAGTTTAATGTGTAATTCCCCCCACTCCCAGCAAAAAAAGTCCACGAGACATAAATTTGGTGATATATATATAAAACAGTCCAGTCGCTGATGATGTAATGGTACCCTCGCCTGACTTGTGTGCGGGCAGCGTGGGATCGGTTCCCACTTAGTGGCAGCGTGGATGTGGGTGTGAATGGTCATTTGTCTCTATATGTGCTCTGAGACTGACTGGTGACCAATTCAGGGTGTAGTCCGCCTTTCACCCGAAATCAGCTGGGATGGGCTCCAGCAACTCCTCGCGACCCTCTTCGGAATAAGCGGTGTAAAAATGGATGGATGGATGGATGGATGGATGTAATAGTCCAAGACCTACAAAAAAGTATCTTGGAGCCATTTGCTAAACCTAATAGAAAGTCCGCCATTTTGAATACTATTTCAAATTTGGCCCGATTTTTGGCCTTTTATAGAGGTCACATTTCAAAGAACTCCTCAACATCTCACCTTATTGTCTTGAAAATGCGGGTGTTTCATCTTAAGATGTTCAACATATATTGTAAAAGCAAAGCTCTTTCATCTAACGCTGTCGCCGTGGCAATGCTCTGTTTGCTCAGAAACATGATGCCGATTTTGATGGGCTTTAGGTATATGAAACTTGGTACACACATTATGCTTATTAAAATAATCCCTATTTGATGAGTTTATTGTGCGGTTTTCAAAAATAAAAGGCGTCGTTGCGCCCTCCAAATATTTTAAATCAAACCTCATTTAACTGTTTCATCAAAATCTACCAAAATTTGGTGGCATATCACAGCCCAAGACCTACATAAAGACTCTGGAGCCCTTGCTTTGTGTGAAAATACTTTGGCTGGAGTCCTCTGATATTCTAGTGTCCTGTCAAGTCAGTCTGGTTTTGAGATAAGAGAATTTAAATTTTTTGAAATCGGGTCTATAAATCATATTGCTGATTTTGGAGGCTTTTTATTTTGAAATGCGACATCAGATCTGCATGATAGTACTTTGGTTGGTTACTCGGAGTGATCTAGTTTGCCCTGATGGTGGTCTGGTTGCAGGAAAACAAAGTTTGCATTGTTATTTATTTATATTATTTTAATCAGTGGCAGTGTCTACACTGCCACTGATTAATTCAGAATTTTATCTTGAAATACAACATTGGATTTGTGTGAAACTACCTTCGTTGAATCCCCATGGTTGTAATAATGCCCGAGAACTGGTCAGGTTGCGGGAGAATGAAATAAGAATTTTGAATGATTTAAAAAATAAAAAATAAAAATCAAGTTTAATAGTTGAAATTGCAAATTTCAGAGCTGTTGTATTTTGAAATGCAACCTCAAGATTCGTGTGAAGGTACTTTGGCTGGAGTCCTGGAATGGTTCTGAAATGGCCTGTGTCCTCTTGGAATTGAGAAAGATGTTCAGATTTGTACACCTGTACACACAACAGCTCGGCATGTTGATATCTTTTGAACCTATTCAAATACTAACTCTCAGGCTACAATGTGTCTCCTGGTGATTTGAATCAATGACTCTTTCCAAACGTCCATCCTTATTCCATAACCCCACATTCACTATATGGTCCCGCAATATTTATTAACTGTACAGTATAGTAGTCCCCTCATTTTGTTTGGCAATTTGGGCAGCGACCTAACTACTTTCTCCCCGTCACATATCACGTGACCACCATACCTGTCATGAAGCACCAGTAAATTAACATCCCAGATTTTTTTATTGTTAAGAAATATTTTAAAGGATATTTTATTTCCTTTGTGTTACATATGTTCAATTAAAAACATGAATACATTATTTCCATGGGGTATGGTTAATGTAACGCTTTGATATTCACTCTTGTGCCAGGTTTTTTTCTTGCTCGCAATGTGGTCTATATGAACCTGTTGAGTGACTATCGATGCTTGCTTCTTTGAAAAGTGCATTGTGGATCATTTTGAGTGCACTGCATTTTTCCTTTTGGACATTCGATCATTCTACAAAATAATGTAACCCCTTAATAGTGCACTATTTAGGGAATATTGTCCACATTCAGACACAGCCTGTGATGTGTGTGTTGCTATTGATGATGTCGAGTGAAAGTGGCTCTATTGTTTTAGGTCAGGCCATCAACTTTTAAAAGTTTAGTCTTATTCTATGGGTCAGAGTGATTAATAGAGCCAATTTGAGTGAATGTAACAAAGTTCTCCATCAAGTATCGTATTTGTATAGCCCTTGTTCACAAAAAATCTGAAAGAGCTTCACAAACCCACAGTTAACAAATATTAACCATATTGACCAGGCTGCATTTGATGCCGTGTGCAACATTAACATGTAATGCGGTTCTATTCAATGTTAACTAGGACAAGAGAATCCAATGTAGGTGAAATATGTGACAACAAAGTGTCAAGTGCTGTCCTGAAAGTTCCCTGCAAAAAAAAAAAAAAAAAAAGCCTCAGCCACCCAGCAGGGCCAAGCATGTTGCTGGGCCCGACCGGGAGCTGGTGAATAGCTGGTGACCATCTGGAATCTTGACAGCGGGGTAACAGCATGCTGGTCTTTTCTGGGTGGCTGTTACAGCAGATTGCGCAGTGACATAAGGTTTGGTTTTTGGCTGTTTTTGTTGTGCTTTTGCGACTGGTCTTGCTAATGACAAGACCAGCATCCTGCTATTGTACTGCTAGTAAACTGGTGATGCCAGCAAGACCAGCCAAAAACACAACAAAACCATGCTTGTCTAAGCTAATTATCATTATTATTTTTGCAGGATTAGTATTTATAGAGGAGACCGAGTGTAGGTAGATGATTGCATGAGGAGGCAAGTAGACAGCTACATGTGGCCAAGAGTAGCCAGTTAACTGCAAGCAGTGGGCAGTCCTTTTTACTGCCATTAGCATTTAAGTGGTGGCTCACGTGGCGTAAGGTTCCCGAGACAACCACAGGACAGTAATCTGAATCAGCGGAAAACATTTCCTCCCTTGAGGACAGGTGATAAAATGGTGTTGAAGTCAAGGAAGAGTTGTCAGTGCTAATGGGCTGAATCTTTAATAGAAGTAAAAATGAATGAATAAGTCATGAGCAGTGTCAACAGTGTGCATTGGCATTCATGTTGAGAGAAATGAAGTTAACATCACGATAAAAGCAGGTAACTATCAACACACCAATATTTGAAGAGCTCTTTCACTCAACAATATCAATTCATTTTGACCAATGGCAAAATTGCATGGCAAGATGGATCTTTTTTTAATTTTGGCTTTCATTTTGGATATGAGAGTAGGCCCAAGTGACTTGCTAAGATGCTCTTCTTTATCCTGTTGTTTCCTATTTAGCTCAAAGAAAGTGAAAGCTCAGACTGAGGCAAGTATTTTTGGAACATTGCAAAACTTAAAAGAGGACAAACCCAAGCCAGTGAGAGATGAGTATGAATACGTCTCAGATGAGGGAGAACTGAAGATTGATGAATTCCCAATACGACGGAAAAAGAACACCATGAAGAGAGAACTTTCCTGTGAGTATTGTGTTATGAATCTTCCAATGGCAGTTCATATATACAGTGATCTCTCACATCGCGGTCAATGGGAACCGGGACCCCGTGATAAGTGAAAAACCGCTAAGGAGGGTTTGACCCCTCCCCCCACCCCTGGATTTTTTTTTTTTGAAGCGTATTTGGGTAACAGCATGTTTAAAATATTTAAACAGTGATTATACTTTTCATGTTTGAGACAAAGACTACATACATATTTACTTAGATCTTTAATAATAAAACCTTGTACAGTAGTTAACATTCATCAGCATTGCCTCCTGAGAGGTGAAGAGACTTGTGTTGACAGTGTGGCCGCCGTTAGCCTCCAGCTAGCTCCTGGCTAGCTATCCTTGCGCAGCCGATGTGTTTATGATAAGATGATTAGGAGGAAGAGAGAAGAGAAGAGCTTTCGCTGAAGCCCAATCACCCCTCACTCTCTCTCTCTCTCTCTCTTTCTCTCTCTCGCTCGCACTCGCTCGCATTCGCTTTTGCTCCCCCCGCCGCGCATGTAGCAAACAAAACAGAAGAGACAGTAAGCCAGAGAGAGGCAGGCAGACTATCAGAGAGTCAACATCGTGATGAGACGCAATGGAAGGTGCTGGGCGGGGCTGCGAAGATATGCAGCCAATCAGTTCACGGGATGAATCCATTGGTCTACGTCGCACCGAGAACTAATCATGCGTACAGGCATGTACCAAACCTCTTGAGTCATTCTGCCTTTTTTTCTGAATACAGTAGTACTCTTGAAAAAAAACATGATGTACTGAAGCCACGATAAATGAAATGCAATATAGTGAGGGGTCACTGGATGTTAATGCATTCGTGTGTGTGTGTGTGTGTGTGTGTGTGTGTGTGTGTGTGTGTGTGTGTGTATA